AGTATTGACACATGTCACAATCTAAATTAACAATTACACATATCATGATCTCATGAATAAAATTTTTGCTTATGTATCGCGTTCTCATCGTACGCATCCTCTTTTATATAATAAGATTTGTTATGATGCCTAATTATTTTCATCTACCCGATATATTTTATATACAAGCTTGGCGGAATCTTCGCTCTCACTTCCCAATTCCACTAATACGAGGTTCATGCATGTTGAGCCATCAGATAATACCATTTTAACTTCATATATATACGTTAAATTTCACATACTTTTAATTTTAAATACATAATTAGTAGATTGCTATATATTACTCACATATATAATTTTATGCCTCATATCATATTGGATATGATATTTCTAGCTAACACCATTCTTCGAAATGCGAATTGATCGTTTTCTACCAATTTAACATATAATCCCAAATCACAGGATTAGATTGGCCATACTATTTTTCGGATAAATTTTTTTTTTTGTTGGGATCGAAACGATCTCGATCAGTCATACATATAAATACATTGATGACATCATCACATAACAAAAGTCGAACAACAATTCAATTATAATAGCTTATTACATGAGTATGAGGTGTAGTAAAACTTATTCCGGACAATAATGATCATATGTATAGGAGACAATTTTTTCTATTGTGATCGATAGCGATAATAATATAGAAAAAAAACTACATGCCAACAAGAATGTGAAACCCCGAAATACAATAGTGCATGTATAGCTAAAACTAACCATTTCCTTTGGTCACATTTCTAAATTCTTAACTATGAATGTAAGAATATACTTATTATGTTGATTTGGTGGTTTTGAATCTTGGGCTGATGCAATAATCACTTGAATTTGTTTACACTATGAGGTATTTCGGATCTACCAAAATCAAACCAAATCCGTTGACGAGGTCTTAGACACCTTGCTAGATTCTTCATGTAATGGTCTCTTTGTCGAGGCAACATCTCAGTCTGCAACTGAAGAATTCGGCTATCTAGCTAGATATAGCCTTTTTCGAAACCGCTTTGCACATGAAATGCTGGGACCTCATCCTTTTACGGTTTCTAGTTTTCAGGTCTAG